TTCCTTGAGGCCTACTCGTGCTTGCAGCTGTCTTGATGATCTGCAGGGTTGCATCTGTTAACAAGGCCGATGTTGCACTGTAGCCGAGCTTGGTTAAATCTACCAGGCCAAGGAAACCGCTTCGGACCTTCAAGTCTGGCGTTGCAGCTCGAAATCTCGCTCCCAGGTACTGTTGCCGCACATCTTGCATGAGTGTCATCGAACTGGTTTTGCGCAGGAAGCGCTGCGTGATGCGACGGCAAGCTTCGCCCAGACAATGCTTCAGACGAGTAACTTTTTTACGTTTTCCAACTCCAGGCACCCCAATCGTCGCCAGAGGCTCTCCCTTTGTGAACCGCTTCCATGACATCTATGAAGGCCTGCGTCGGCGGTGACAGGCCCATAGTGCCTTCGCCCAGGCATTTATGTCCATCCAGAGCCGCCAAGTGATGACTATCTTTGCAGTGTCGTTTTAAAATGCACGTCTGCGCTACGGCTGAGGAAGTGTGCGAGCAGCGCCCCCACGCAGTTCTCAGATTTGCTCGCATACATATTTTGCAACCGAGCGACAACTCTGAGTTCCCATGTGTTTTGACAGCAACCCACGCGTCTGATGATTCATCAGTCGGATCACAGCGCAACCATTTTTCGTACGAGCCACTCACAGCAAGATGCCAGAACATCGCACAAGCAACGCATTTTAATAGTGGTTTGTCACAAGCCAACATGTGCGAGCAAAAACCATCAGGCAAATGTGAAGGCAGTAGTCTCGCTCTAGTACGCTTCCGGCTCAACCACGACATAAGCCCAAATGGCTGCAGCAAATACGATGGTTAATGATGGATTAGGTGGCCCCCCGAAGTCCCAGGAGGGCCCCAAGAGGACCTCAATGCCGGTGGGGCTGTGTGATTATTGTTGATGGTGGCGTGCCCCCTCATGGTTTCACGGCTGCCCCCCTCGCGGTTTCAAGACCCCCTTCATGGTGTTTCGATTGTCCCCCCTCCTGGTGTCACGACTGCCCTGCCCATCATGGTTTCACGACGTGCTGTCCCCCCTCATGGTTTCACGACTAACCCTGCCCTCATGGTTTCACGACTGTCCCCCTCATGGTTGCACAACTGCCCCCCAGATGGGGTTTCACGAATGCCTGACCCCCCTCGTGGTTTCATGAGTTGCATTCCCACCAGCCGATTGCAATGGCGAGTCAAGCGTGAAGTGTTGATTTGCTCGGCTCCCTGCGCATCGGATGCGGGAGACTGCGCGCAAAGTCCACTGGTTCAACAGGGCAGGCGGGCGAATTCGGGGAATCCCACCAGCCCGTGGCCTTGGTTGGGAGGTTACTCTTCCAACCCCCCCTTCCCCTTCCACCCCCTCCCTTGGCCTTGGACGGGGGGGGCGGCGACGCGTTTGAGCGTCCAAGATGGCCCAAGACGGCTCCAAGAGAGGCTCGGAGAGCTCAAGATGGCCTCCAAGATGGCTCAAGATAGCGCAGTATGCCTCAAAATGGCCCCCAGACTCCAAGAGGCCCCAAGCACGTTCCAAGACGGCTCCAAGAGGCTCCCGAGACCCTCAAGGAGGCCCCCAATACGCCCAAACCCACCAAAACTTAAAAACAATAAATGATGTTTGCCTTCTTGCTTTTCGCTTCCGATGGTCATCCGAGGCCTCAAGATGGCTCCAAGATGGCCCAAGAGAGCCCCAAGATGGGGCCCAATAGAGCCCCGAGAAAGCCCCAAGAGAGCCCAAGAGCGCTCCAAGAGGGGTCCAGGAGGCGATTTTTGGGGTTCCCGAAAAGGTGGGGCGAATACCGGCCCTCCCCTTCTTTGATCGATATCCTCCAAGATGGTTCCATGAGCGCCTCGAAAGCCCCCAAGAGCGCCCCAAGACTCCCCAAGAGGCGCCCAGGCGGCCGCAAGAGGCTTCCACAAGGCTCCCAGGTGACCCCCAAGAGGCCTCAAGAATATCCCTGCGGCAACTGAGACCACTTAAAGTGACTTCCCTGGTCACCTCAACTTGCCTTGGCGTCGTTTCTGGATGGGTTGGTGGGGATACGCGAAGCGTCAAAAATACTGACAGGACGCTGTGTCCAATGCCAGCCACAACTACGTGGGATCAAACACTTGCACGTCGCTGACTCCAAGAGCTTACCGTATCTAGATTGTTGCGGTGACTTCCCAGGGCATGCCATTGTCTGTCAGAATTGGGGAAGCCCTTGGAGCCTGGAACTGGCAGGGCAACAAACTATATTATATGACAATGTGCAGTGAGCATGCTCACCAGTAACAGTATGATACTACATCCTCGGGCTTGCCGCCTACTCCCGCCGCAGACGCTTGGGCAGAGTCAGAAGCGTATTGCCCTCGTCGCTGCTGCTGCTGCTGCCGGTGGGGTTGTCCTCGTCCTCGACGTCGGCGACCTCCACTCTGTCGTCGCTGGCCGCCTCCGCGCCGCCCGTGCCGTCGTCGACGTGGTCGGCGCTGCCCGTCGCCGTGTCGCCGACGAGGATGGCTGCGACGACGGCCGCTGGATCTGCGGCGCTGTCTGGAGACATGATGATGCTGGCGTCGTCGTCGTCGTCGCTTGCCGCCTGCTCTGCGGCGCTGCCCGCCGTGTGGTCGGCCGCCTCCGCGCCGCCCGTGTCGTCCTGGCCCGCGTCGTCGACGTCGGCGCTGCCCGTCCTCATGTCGCCGACGATGGTGGCCGGCTGGTCTGCGGCGTTGTCTCGGTTCATGTTGGCGTCGTCGTCGTCCTCGCTTGCCGCCTGCTCTGCTATGCTGCCCGCCATGTCGGCCGCCTCCGCGCCGCCCGTCGTGCCGTGGACGCCGTCGTCGTCATCTGGCTCTGGGGCGGGCGTCTGACTGCTGGTGTTTCGCGAGCGGCCGAAGAGCTCTTTGTTGTTGTAGCGGTATACCCACACATCAGCGGGAACCCATTCAATATCACCCTCATCATCGTCCGACATGAACCAAGGGTAAATAAGACGATGCGTGACTGGGTTCCATCTCGGAGCATAGCGCAATGAGCGCGGGTCGTTCCAGACGGACATTGCCGCAAACCGGCTTGAGCCCAAATGGCTACGGATGGGTAAGGATGCATTCTTTGGATGCCCAAGTTGCCGTTTAATATGTCTGATTGGTTGTAAAGATAAGACAAGGCTGCCAGAGTGCCACGGGGGGTTCGGATCGGGCTGCGCTATAAAAGCAAAATATATTAGCTAACCTCATCTGATTGTCTGTACAGATAAATCAAGGATGCCAGAATGCCTGCGGTGGCTGGGATCGGGCTGCGCTACATAGTGGAGTCCGCCGACCCCTTGTGGGCGTGTGAGATCTATGTTCTAACTGCCAGTCGGTTTCATTGTTTGGCTCTTTGCGTTTTAAGCGCATGCCTTGTATGATGGCACTATGCGTGCTTCGTCGTTTGCCCGTTGAGTATGTGTGTTGTGGTTTGTTTGATGATTCGCGGTGTTGTTGTCATGTGTGGTATGTTGTTGTTATGTTTGATGTGGTGTGGTTATTCCTTAATGCTTCATGTTCTTGTCTGATGATGTGTGGTATCTTTGTTATTTGATGTGGTATGTTGGTCATCTGGTGTTTGACGTTTGATGTAATCTGTTGTTGTTGTTGTTGCTGCTGTTGCTGTTGGTGTTGGTGTTGTTGTTGTTGTTGGTGGTGTTGTTGTTGTTGGTGTTGTTGTTGTTGTTATGATTGATGTTATGCTCGCGGTGTTGTAGTCCCCGTTTGATCATGTTTGTTGTGGTATGCTTGTTCATCCAGAGAAGACGCCGAGAACTTCGTGATTCGGACATTCCTGGACATCCTCAGTTCTACAGGGCAAAAAAAAACAAAAAAAAAAAAAAAAAAAAAAAAAAAAAAAAAAAAAAAAAAAAAAAAAAAAACGGCCTATGCACAGGCCAGAGGAGGAGGAGGAGGAGGAGGATCCGCCCGCACTGCGCCTCGGCCGCCGCCGCGGCACCCGCCGGGGCAGCCCGCCGCGGGAGCCCGAGCCGGCGCCCCGCGCCTGGCGGGCCGCGGGCGGCGGTCCGCACCCGCCGCGGAGGGCGGCGGGGGCCTTCGGCGGCGGAGCCGCCCGTCGCGGCGCGTGGAGCAGAAGTTCCTTGCCTCTGGACGCCCGAAATGGGTACGGAAAGAATGGGTACAATGCCCAACAGCGGATCTTGTTCATTTTGAACAGGGCTCGCTGTCCACGCCGCCGCGGCCTGTGTCCATTCGAGACAGGAGGCCGCCCGCCCAACAGCGGCCGCTGTTGGTTTGGGACAACATTTGCTGTTGGGCCCCCGTAGCCCCCTAACACCCCCAAGTGCAGACCTCAAAGAGCACTCCTCCTCCGTCCCCATGCATCCTCATCCAGCTTCCCCCATCTAAGTCTGAGAGCCGTCTGGGCTATTTCCTGCTCCTCGATATGTCCCAGCGCTCGGGCGCCATCGCATGGCCACGCGCAGGGCCGTCCCCCCCCCCCCCCTCCCGGGACGACGAGGGCGCAAGAACGTGTTTCTTTATTGTTTGATGCATAACGGGCGTTATAGCCCCCGCCCCCCCCTATGACGTAAGCACCCCCCCTCGCAAGTGCGCTCTGGGCACGGCCTCCGTGCGCATCGGTATCCGCATAGGCGTCCGCATAGGAATCCCCAGAGGAGTCTCGTCCGCAGTCGTCGTCGTCGTCGTCGTCGCTCGTCATTCGTCGTTCGTCGTTCGTCGTTCGTCGTCGTCGTTGTCGTCGTCGTCTTCTTCGTCGTCGTCGTGGTGGTCGTCGTCGTCGTCGTCGCTCGTTGCTCGTCGTTCGTCGGTCATCGTTCTGCGTATACGCGAGTGTCCAGGGAGCACGGTTGTCGAAGCGCCACTCGCCTTCTTCGGTGATCTTCTCGATCCGCTGTTCCAGCTTGCGCACGAGCTTCTCCATGATGGGGTGAGGGGGGGACGAGAGGAGGGGGAGGGGGACGGTGAGGAGGAGGGGGAGGGGGCGGGAAAACAGTGGGGAGAAGGGGGAGGGGGACGAGATGGAGGAGACAGGGGCAGGTCTAGCGCCGAAGTTCTGAGCAGCCTGCGAGCCTCAGGTTTTAACACGACGTTCAACATTTTTCTTTGCCAGGCCCCTGCGCTTCTCGATCGGAAAGTCCAGGCGCGCCCCGCACGCAGCCCTACTACTCGCGTTTGGCACCGATGCTCCTGCCGTGGGTCGCTGGGCCGCTGTCCCCTGCACTCCTCATAGCAGTTCTCGCCTCGCGCAACAGGACGAGCCTGGGGCCACCACGCCGTTTTTTCCCACCACCACCACCATAAGTTGGAGGGGGAGGGGGTCCTCCTCCTCCTCTTCCTCCTCGTCCTCTTCCTTCTCGTCCTCCTCCTCCTTCCCCCCTCCAGCTTATGGTGGTGGTGGTGGTGGAAACCAGTCCCATCAGTTTTTCTTCAGATGAGCAGCGACTGCGAATTCACCCCCGCGCGGAGTTTTGGGGCACTCGAGGGAAAAAAGAAGCACGGCGTCGCGCCCTGGCTTGTACAACAGTGGCGACCAGTGTTCCCGCCATTGCGGTTTACTGCCTCCCCTCACGTAGCGGCCATGCCCTCGAGCCTGCCTGTCTCCTATCTGTCGGTCTCGTGCGAAAGCACGGCTTCCTACTGGCAGAAGGGATTTGTGTAATCTGGCAGCCAGCGGCACACGGATACCGATGTTCGCCAGGCCTTTGCCGTGCCCACGACTGGCAAGTGCAGCCAGAACGCCGCAAGGCAGAGCTCAGTTTATGTTGGAAGATTGCTAAGGCCTTACGGCCGGTGCCGCCGCCCCTGAAGACGACGACGACGAATACGAGGAGGAGGAGGAGGAGGGGGATTAAGGTGGAAGGGAGCAGGAGGAGGCGAAGGAGATGTTCCACGTGTGGGCCGAGGGAGGCGTAGCAGAGACAGACAGGGAGCCTTGTGGCCTGCGGCCCTCCCCCGCCACCGTGCTGGGGTTGTGGTTGAAAGGACTCTTGGATGTTGGGGCCTCTGTTGGGCCTCTTGGGAGTCTTTTGGAGGCCTCTTCGGGCCCCTTGAGGGGCTCTTGGGGCCTTCCAGGGGCGTCTTGGGGCGGGAAGCTCGAAATGTCGGTTCGTGGTCCTTTCCTTGGGTCTGTTTGGGGCCATCTTGGCGCGTTTTGGCGTTTTTTGGGGCTCCGGCACGCCCAACCCCCCCTTCCAGGACCCCACCGGGACCCCCCAGGAATCCCCACCAGGACCCCCCCTTTCTCGGCGGGGAAGGGATCAAAGGAAAGGGGCTTCCTTTCGACTTAAGTACGACGTTGCTACGGTTTTATCTCGCTGGCAGGCTTGCAGAAGAGGGTGCAGGGAAAGGGAAAGACGGAGACGCAGGGAAAGAGGACAACTGACGCGTCGACTGAGCGCGCGCCGACAGGGGGTCCACACGCCGACAGGGTCGGCGGATGTTATCACATCATTAAATAATCACATCATGACATGGCACGCACTGCGCACTATAGAGTACATTATGTTATTGCATTGCATACTGCATCGTGGCATTGCGCTTTGCAGCGTAGCATGGTGTATCATGGCATTCCATAGCACAGTGCACTATGAAGCTGTAGCGCTGCACTTTTCCTGGTCCATAGCTTGGCGACAGATCACGGGTCGACCGGTTGATGAGAGCGGAGGAGGAGGAATGAGGAAGAGGCAGGAGGGAACAGAGAATGATGATTTCATTTTTTTTGACCGCCTTGTTGTCTCAATGCGGTCAGCACTCGACCAGCGCGATGGTTCTAGTGTATAAATAAATATGTATATGTACCTATATATAATTCCGAGCCGATGACGGCCGTCATCTGGGGGGTGGTAGGGGGCGGTGACGTCACGTTTCGCGCCGGCGGCGTCTGGGAATGCTTAGGAATGACCGACGACGGATGGCAGCAGCATCTAGGTGGCGATCTGCACCACAGCGCCGGTGTACACCACAGTGCGCGCGTTCGGGAGCCTGGAGACGGGGGTCAATGCAAACAGGGGTCAGCCAGAGCGCCAGATCTTGCAGGGTCCTGCAGGGCCAGGCTCCCATTGACCCGGGCTTGGGCGCAGGATCCTGCAGGATCCTGCAGGATCTTGCAGGATTTTGCAGGATCCTGCAAGGCCTGGCTGACCCGGGTCTGGATTGACCCGGGTCAGAAGATCCCCGACGCGTGCACCACAGCGCCTGTATACACCACACCGCCCATGTACACCACAACGGCCGCGTGCAACACAGCGCCAGTGTGTGCCACAGTGCTTGCGGGCACCACAGCGCTTGTGTACACCACAGCGCCTGCATACACCACATCAGCCGTGTGCGGCACAGCACCAGTGTACACCACAATGCCTGCGTGCACTGCAGCGCCTGTGTACACTACGGCGCCTGTGTGCACCACAGCAACCGTGCGCAACAGAGCATCACTCGCATATCTAATTTCAGAAAGAATCCTTGTGACAAAAATGGAGCGCCTGTGGATTTCACAGACAACAGATGTTTTATCTAGGATTTGGAAAGGAGTCCTCCTGCAAAAAGGAGCGCCGCCGGAATCTACGAGTCTTCCCAGTCCGCCCGCATCATCCTAACTCCTCCCATGTGCGTCCAGGAGGCTCCGGCTGAATTGGCCGTCTGGGAACCAAGCGGATTGGTATAATCGATCATTCTGCGGTGCACGCTTAGATGCGCACGTGCGCTGTAGCGCCGACCCACACGACGGGGGGGAAGGGTGAGGGAGGAAGAAGAGGAGGAGGAGGAGGAGGAGGAGGAGGAGGAGGACGAGGAAAAGGTGGAGGAGGAGGAGGAGGGGGTGGAGGTGGAGGAGGAAACAGGAGGGAAGGACGTCGCATTCCATTATCTGCACTTCCCTGGCGTGGTGTTTAGCTGTCCGCAACAGATCCTCACCAACATGCTCCTCCTACCTGTCCTGTGCACGCAGGCGCTGTGGTGTACACCAGCGCTGCGTTGCACGCGGATGCTGTAGTGTAGACAGGCGCTGTGGTGTGCACAGGCGCTGCGGTACACGCAAGCGTTTTGCTGTACACAGGCGCTGTGTTGCGCATGGTTGCTGCGGTGTACACGTTCGTTGTGGTGTATACCGGCGCAGTGTTGGTGTACGCAGGCGCTGCGTTGCACATGGCTGTTGCGGTGTACGCAGGCGCTGTGGTGTACACGCGCGCCGTGGTGCGCGCGAGCATTGTGGTGTATATTGGCGACGTGGGGCAGATCACCACCTACACGTTGCCAGAACTTGACATCATCTGGCGGGGGGTGGGGGGGGAGCGTGGCCGATGACGGCCGCTATCCCGGAAAATTCATTAACGGGATTCTGTGGTGCCGGAGCCACACGGCGGGGGGGGGGCGTTACGTTATACCCCCCCCCCGCCCTCCCCCCTTCTATGACGCCTGTGATCGCCGAAAATAAAGAAGCGCGCTGCAATTTCCTCGGGCGGACGGCAACGCGGGGGCAACAAGCGTGGGGGGATCGAGGATTGCAGGAAAGTGGCCATAAACACACACACACACACACGCACGCACACACACACACACACACACACACACACACACACACTGCAGTCATTCAGCTGGGGGTGCGTAGGTCATTGAAGTGCTCATGCAAGTGGGCACTTCAAGTGCTTCCTCGTTGGAGGTCAAACGGAAGCTCCATTGTCGCAAACTTAAAACACTGATTGGGCACAGGGACGGAGGGCGGGGGGGGGGGGAAGGAAGGGAAGGGACGTGGGGGGGGAGTATGCTACATTCTGCAAAGTGGCACTGTGCACGAATGACTTCTAGTCGCTGTCTGACTTTATCTGACGCTCAAGGGTTGATGCGCTCCCGATCTGAGACAAGGCCATGCGGTACACATGGCCATAAAGGGACCCGCAATGGCCCTATATTGCCATCGCGGGCCCACAAGGCACACAAAAGGCGCACATTTCCTTTCTGGGGCCCCGAGGCCATCAAGAGTTGGTCCAGTAAGAAAAACTGGCCCCTGGGAAAGGGGTCGGGATCTTTGGGGCCCTCGCAGGGTTGCATGCGGTTTTCTCCTTGACTGCTTCTGCATCCTCCTCGTGGTCGTTGCCCTCCTCTTCGGGCGGGGTTATCTCTGGTCTGTGTTCTTCCTGGGCGCGTATTCCAACACGCACCACACTGGTCCTGACTACGCGTGAACTTGCATCCGCTTTGCCCCGAGCCGCGCCAAATATTCATGGTGTTGCGTATGGATCGGTACTATCTCGTCGGCTGCACGTGTGATTGGAATGTATCGGTTGTGGTTATGAAGCCCTTCCCTCAGTGGCCATCTCACTCTTACTACTGCTATTCCTTCCTCCTCCTCTACATCATCATCATTCATCATCCTCACCATCCTCTTCTGTCATCTTCGTCATCCTCCATCCTCATCATCCTGCACCTCCTCGCCCTCCTCGTCCTCTCCCAAAACGCCCCTCATCATCCTCATTAACATCACCCATCCTTCATCATCCTCTATTATCCCCCCTCCTCCTCCTCCTCCTCCTCCTCGTCCTCCTCCTCCTTGCTATCGCCATCACCACCAGCGCCACCACCATCAGCGTAACCTGCATCGTCACCGGCACCATCATCATCATCAACATCAGCATCCTCTTCATCGTCCTCACCACCAGCATCATCATCAACGTCATCAGCATCACCATCACCATTTGCATCGTCATCTTCAGCATCATCACCAGCATCATGATCAGCAGCAGCATCATCATAATCAGCGCCATCATCACCAGCAGCGTCATCAGCATGTTCATCGTCATATTCATGTTCATAGTTATATATACATTCATCGGCATCAGGATCATCACCATCATTATCATCGTCATCATCCCCATCATCACCATCAGACGAGTCATGTTTATCAACATCATCAGCAGCAACATCATTATCATCATCACCACCGTCATCATCAGCATCAGCAGCATCATCATCATCAGGAGCCCTTGTGTCGGTACTTCTGCGACGCGACGGTGCGTTGCCCGCTCAGCGTGCAGAAACGCCGACGCCGCGGCCCTAGAGCAGCATCCAGGGCCTCCGCTGCAGCGGCAGACAGAGAGCTTGTGGAAAAGCTCACGTAGCCCGGGGGAGCTCATCCCCCCGGCCCCAACCCTTTTTTATTTCCTTCTAGTGTTATTTTCAGCCCCAGGGGGGGGGGTGACGGCAAGGGCGCACGAGGAACGAGGGGCGTGGACCGTTTTTCTCAAAGAATTCTTTATGTGAGGCTCCGCGCTGCACTTCGGCCGGGCGTCGGCGGATGACGGGAAGCGCGAGCGAGGAACGAGGAGCGTGGGCCGTTTTTCTTAAGGGAAAACCTTTTATATGAGGCTCCCGATCGCATCCCGGCCGGGCGTTGGCGAATGACGGGAAGCGCGCTTAGACTCGAAGAGTCGCGCGATGGACGTCGCGCACGGGCCCGGAGGGGAAAGCATTTATCAAGTGGGGGGGTCCAGGGGGGGAGTGGTGGCGGGGTTCGCCTGTGATTTTCACTTGGCGGACGACGGGAAGCGCGCTTAGACTCTTTAGAGTCGCGCGATGGACGTTGTTTACAGGCCCGGAGGGGAAACCATTTACCAAGTGGGGGGGCCCAGGGGGGGAGCAGTGGCGGGATCGCCCTCTGGTGACGGGAAGCGCGCTTAGACTCGAAGAGTCGCGCGATGGACGTTGCACACGGGCCCGGAGGGGGCAGCATTTATCAAGTGGGGTGGTCCAGGGGGGGGAGTGGCGGCGCCGCCGCTCCTTGAG